TGCCGACCTGCTACGCTCGACAGGGCGATTCAAATCCACATGGACCAGACATCAAATTTTCAAAAGTTACTTTTAAAACTTGGAAAATCTGTTGAAAAAGGGTGCTGGAACTCTGTTCCGGTGTGCTCTATGACAAAAAAAGCACTGCCTCTCGGCATCCTGAGAGGTAACTCTTTTTGGTAAGTTGCACTGCAGGAACACAGAGACTTACTAAGCTCAGAGAAGGCAATCGCCACTGAAAAATAAGGAAGGTACTTAGTAATGAGGAAGGTACTTAGTGGGTGCTAAACCCGATGCTTGGCTGCAGGCAAGAGGATAACCCACACTCAAAAGCTCAGTGTGGGTTGTCACCGAAACACAGGTTTTTGGTTGTCTGAACCTAGCCAAGATAAAGAACCATGGTGAACAGTTCACGGTTAGCAATCTAACAACAAACCATGGCGTCTCTTCACGGTTCGTAACAGCAACTCACAAATCAATGACTGTGCAGCTTTGTGTTGTCTGAACACAATGTGTTTCAAACTAACAGAAGCACTGTTCTTAAAGTGTGCTTGGTAGGGTGGCCAGGTTTCTTATTTTACAGAGGGTAGTCCTTGGTTTTGGAGAGTTGTTGGTCCTGCACTGGAAGGTATTCTCGATTATATGGGCTACGCAGTCCAAACTTGTTTCAGATTTCTGTATGTTTTAAGATCCATTCTTTTCATAAAGAAAGAAGAACAGGGACCTGGAAGTTGTCCGTGCATCCAGATCACCTCGTTGGTGTTCTCATTATGGTGTGATAGTGTGTATATTTCTGCTTAAATAATAGCTGCCATTTCTAAATTTGGAGATATGCACATCTATGAATATTATGCAAATTGGTGTCCTCTTTTGTTCTTGGCAATGCCTGGCTGGCCTATTCGACTGACTGTTTTTATTCTGAAGAAAAGGCGGCAGTGGGACTTCTATCCAAACTGGTACATCAAGAGAAGGTCAGACTCCCTGGAGAAGACAATCATGCTAGGGAAAGTTGAAGGCAGAAGATAAGGCAGACCAAAGTTAAGATGGATGGATTCCATAAAGGAAGCCACAGCTTTGAATTCACAAGAGCTGAGCAGAGCTGTCAAGGATAGGGCATTCTGGAGGGCTTCCATTCATAGGGTTGCCCTGAGCTTCAGAGGAATGGATGGCACATCACATCACAGTGGCTGGAAGATGCATGCTTGCTTTCTTTTCCAGCTGGTGGCTTCCTTCTGTGACACTCTCATCTGGTTGGGTGGCACCTGCAGAAATAGTTTAGCGGGCAGCCTACAGTACTGGGAACTGGCCCGGTGGAATACATCATTGTATATGTACAGATTTGTGTATAATAGACCTTTGGGCCTCCACCGCTGCTTCTTATTCTTCCCTATGGATCCTACTTTTCTTTTGCCGCTTGGGGTGGTTGCTTATATCAGGATCCAGGACATCAGCACCCATAAGAAGAATGAGGACCTCTCCTCCCTTCACTCTCTTTGAAAGCTTTCCCCAAATAGTTCTCCCTGGAAGGGATGGGGAAGAGAAATCAGATCCCTTTCTATCTCCAGAAGATTTCAACTGGAAATACGCAGGGCTTTCTATATTGTTTATAATAATAATCCTTCCAGTTCAGTGCCTATTTTAAGCCTATGTTTCATAGTGAATTGTTTTCTGGTTCTTTTCTAATCTTTTCTTTCACTAGATGGTGGGTAGGATGGGTAATGGCCTTTGGGGAGGAATTCAGGGAACAGAGACCAATAAAATAAAAAGATAGTCGTCATTTTATTGACCGACTAAAAATACCGACATCTGGCTGTTCCATCGAATTCTCTGCAAAGCAGCGAGAAACCACTAGGTTAACCCCAAGAGGATACAACCATTTCGGCATGGAATTGCTGTGGCCCATTGGAACTAGTAAGGAAAAGCAAGCCCTACCATCCGGCCCGAGCCGGAAGGAAAGCAATGCTTCAACTTCCCATCAGAATGCCTCCCACAAGGAGCCAGGAGCAACTCCTTGGGGAGGGGTGGGTGGGAGCATTCCAGGCCCCAGGAATAGGGCATTCCTGGCTGGCGAGTCAGGTTTCCTCACCTCGGAAATACTTCCCGCTTTGCAGCTTCCTCTGTGTGTCTCCTCCCTCTCTCAGTTTCCCCAAAACAAGTCAGGTCTGGCATCCTTGGAATGTCCATGCAAGCAGCGAGTGTGTGTGAGGTGGGGACCCCCCGCCCTGGGGGCAATTATGCTGTCTAGAGTGGCATGGGAGGTCCATGCTGGGGGAATCAATTTATTTGTTCAAGTGCTTAGGCTGCCCATCGCAAGAGCCTGCAGAGGGGCTTCAGAACAGGATTGCTTGGAGATCCGGTCCTCATGGCGGATAGAAAGAACTTTAAGCTACAAAAGCTTTCTGCCCAAATATTTCAACCTACTTATTTTCTTCTTGGGCTACAAGCTCTTTCACAGGAACAGCTGCGTGACGATCGGGCTTCTGTATCAATTCTAGCCAAAATGTACTAGTAATTGACTGTCTTCAGAGAAGCAAAGTGACTTTTCCAGAAAAACAGTTCTTTACACGCTTTGCGGACTTTGTAATGTAAACATTTACAAATTATAACTGGAGTAAGGATTACAGTATTGAAAATGAAGAGCTAAATAAAAAGTGCTACGTTTTTATGGAGCACACAAAGTACATGAAAGTTATCCTAAAAGGTAAACTAGCTCAGACATTCGTGCCAATAAATTTGTTCTACCAGTCATGACAATGGCAACCAAATGAAACAGGTGAATTAGGTCATTCAGTTCTTCGGGTTGATTGTCCATCATTTGCATCTCATCATATTGAACTGAAGGAAGCGACCATGATACACACCGATAAAGATACACACTGTTTAGCTTTCAAGAGCCTTGCACTTGGTTCAAGGCTGTAGATCACAACGAAATATGAGTCAACAAGGGGACGTCGCTGCAAAAAGGACAAATACTAGTTTGGGCGGCACAAAAAGAAGCACCACTTCCAAGCCATGTAAATACTAGTTGCCCACTACTCAGAACTGGTTAGGGCTCCTCTGGAGTCCCGTGTCCAGTTCTGGGCACCACAGTTGAAGAAAGATGCAGACCAGCTGGGAAGGATTCAGAGGTGGGCAGCAAAGATGACCCTGGGACTGGAAACAAAGCCCTGTGAGGAGAGGTGGAAAGGAGTGGGCATGTTTAGCCCCTAGAAGGTAAGAGGGAGGGGAGATAGGAGAGCACCGCACACGTCCTTGGAAGGCTGCCACGAAGAATAAGGACAGCATCTCATCTCACTCACCCCACAGGGCAGGACTTGGAGCAATGGGCTCAGGTTGAAGGATGCCGGATTCTGGCTACATTTCGGGAAGAACATCCTGTTAGAGCAGTGCAACCATGGAACCGATGCCCAAGGAAAGTGGTGGGCTCTCCCACACTGGGTGCATTCAGGATGCGACTGGACAGTCATCTGAGAGGAAGGCCTTAACTGGGAGTCCTGTACTGAGCAGGGGGTGGGACCTGATGGCCCTCTGGGCCCTTGCAGCTCTGCTCTTCCCTGGTTCTGTGTTATCAGCAGGATGCTGCGTGAGCATGAGCACACAGGGACTTCCCTTATCTTCTGTGCGCAGCTGGTCAGTCTGTGCGTGACTAGTCTGGGGTGGAAATTTAACTTGAAGCAGTGGCCTACTAAACCTATGCTGCTGAAATATAATTAAATAATTGGGAGACCATTTTCCTGAACGTAGCAGGCTTCAACTACCTGTGATGCTACTGCTGCCTTCATCCCAGGAAAAAAAATCTGGTTTTTATTCAGCATACACCTCTGGATACTTTTGAACAGGAAGCATCCAACCGGGCTTAGAAGGACTGATTGAACATAAATTCTATATAGTGGGCAACTCACAAATGGGGTATCCTTTATTTCCATCAGTATTAAAGTCCAACTTGCACAACCCTGAATTCTGTGCAAGAAAGTTGAGTCAGAAATAGGATGACTGCAATAGTAGTAATTTCTTTTCCTTTGTGACCTCTGGGGGAATCAATGTTGCATCAGATATCTAATATGGCATAAATTGTCTTAGTGTCTTAGATTCTCTTCCTCTCCTGGTTGCCCTGGTGAATATTTGAGTTCCTTAATTCATTGTCTGAGGCGATTACTTCAGCAGTCTTCAGATCTCTATTAGCCTCATTATAATAAGTATAATCTCTTAGCCCCAAGCTGTCATTTTCTGGACTGCTTTTGCTGCTTTCCAGATCAGTGGCTCGCAGCCGCTCAGATGTTCAATGGATGTCCTGCTGCTGCAACTTATTACCAGATCCTTTCCTTCTGGTAACTAACATGAACTGGAACCTCTGAAATCGCTCCATAATGCATGCGACATGGACAGCGGAAAAAGAACACTGCTGCATATTGAACACGGAAGGTCTATTTTTGGCAACGCTAGGTGCAGGATTTGGGGGGCCCTTGGCACAGTGCTTCAGTGCCTCCCCCTGGGAGAAGTTGGGCATGCAGACTGAGAATTGTCTTAGGTTGTGCCTGGCCTTCTAACCTGTGCGAGTGAACTAGAAGCGGTTGTGCTTGCAGGCCCTGGCCCTGTGCTGGTCTTGAGGGCCTTGAAAACGCCCAGCCTGCCACCTTCTGATTCCTGTCTCTGAGCAGCTGTTTGATGTGGCGAAAGCTAATTGTAGCTGCATGCAATGTAAGGCTGCCGTGCTGCTCATTTTAATTGCCACCAGCCACAGCTGCAAACTCTTACATCATGGGAGAGGAAGCTCTTCCACCCAGATGCCAAATGCAGTTTTGCAGATGTTCCCCAGGGCCATGTTGCCCTGTTGGGCAGGGCAAAGAAAAGGGGGTGGGCCCAAAAATTAAGCAACCACCAGCATAGCGTAGCTTAAAGCTCTTACTGAAATTCTGTTGCCATTAAGTCATCTCCACCTTCTGGGGACCTTAGGCATGAGCAGCCTCCAGAATGTCCCATCCTTGACAGCTCTTGTTAATTCAAGGCTAGGGCTTCCTTGATAGAGTTCACCCATCTCATATTTGGTCCTCCTTTTCTTCTTCTGCCTTCAACTTTCCTTAACATGATTGTCTTCTTCAGGGAGTTTGGCCTTCTCATGACCTTCCCAAAGCATGAGAGCTTCGGTTTTGTCATTTTTGCGTCCAGGGCAAGTTCTGGCTTCATTTCATCCAGGACCCACTGGATCATCTTTCTGTTGGTCCTGGGTATTCACAAAGCATTCCTCCAGCACCATGTTTTGAATGAATCACTTTTCCTCCTGGCAGCTTCCTTCACCGTCGAGCGTTCACACCCATATATATTGATCAGGAATGCAATAATGTGCGTGAGCTTGGCCTTGGCCTCCAAAGAAACATCTCCACACTTTTCTAGCTCCTTCATTGTTTCCCTTCCAAATCTTGCTCTTCTCCGAGTTTCTGGCTCACAGTCTCCATTTGAATTGATGACTGAATCAAGCTATGCAAAAATTACGTATTTAATCTTCCTTTTCTTCTACCGCCTTCCACTTTTCCAACAGAAATGTTTTCTCCAGGGAGTTTTGCCTTCTCATAATGTGCTCAAAGTATAACAGTTAACTAAACCTGGGGGGGGGGGGGGGGGTGCACATCAGCATTTTAGAATAGGAAAAAACCAGCACAAGATCCTGGAAAGGGGAAGGACGCTTGGCCATGGGGACTTGGGCTCCAGACAGATGTTCCTCACAGACAATGGCCTGCATGGGAGGAGCCCCACCGTAACAAGCAAAACTCCCTTGTTCTAGAGTTTCATCTAATCAGCTACCCCACCACAAGCTGACTGAAGGTTTTGTTTTTCTTCTTTTCCATGGAGTACTATTAGCACAGCCAGGGTTGCGTTTTCCCCTTTGAAATTGTATTACCAATTTGCTCCTACTTCTCCGAGCACAAGCTGCGACTTCTGATGCAAGGTTGCACCTGCCTTGCACATCTGAAAGCTGGATGAATTTGGATCAATTTAGAGGCATCTTGCATCACCAGCCGAGGGCGATAAGAGCCCCCAAGGGGCTGCTTCCACCTGACAGCTCGGAGGCCAAGCTATTTCTGGAACAGAATCTGAACAGCAACGCTCCTGATTAAAAGGATCCTAACAAAGAATTCGAGTCTTTTGTATTTTTGAGAATGCAGGACAGTCAGAGAAGGTCTGAAGACCACAAACGCGGACCAAAGGGCTGCACGATGAGGCCGTAGGCCACTGGGACAGCCAACATGTAGCCTCTGGCCGCCTGAAGGCCCTGCCTTCCAAAGTGGGTGGCAACGGAGAAAAAACATTTTAAAATTAAAAATGGTCCTTATGCTATGGCCGAGTGCTAAAAGAGCGGCATTTAACTTGCTGTGCAAGTTAGATTTGATCCTTTTAGAATGAAGAGCTAAAATTTGGGGTAGCGGTTAAGAGCCTGGGACTGAGACTCTGGAACTCTGGGTTCTAGTCCCTGCTCAGCCATGGAGGCAACCGGGGATCTTTGGGCCGGTCACAGACTCTTAGCACAACCTCACAGGGTTGTTGTTGTGGGGATAAGACAGAGAGCAGCAGGAGGAGAATGTCAGCCCCTTTGAGGTCTTAAAAAAGAGATGAAAAGACAGGATATAAATCTAAATAAATAAAAGTGCACTTCTTAGTGCCATAACACATTTTGCTCCTGGAAAGAGACAGCAAACCTGAATTGCAATTATATTTCTTAAAGATTAGGGTGTGGCTGATGGGGCAGGAAGTGTGAGGATGAAAAGGGGGCCCTGGATCGCCTTCCATCATGTGCTCCTGCCCTGATCCCACAGGGAGGAATATAAAGGCTCAGCAGGGAAATAAACAAAGAAGGAGGCATGGAATTGTTACCATGGTATCATTACTGTGGTATACCACCAAAGAAGGAGGTGCATCATTACCATGCCCGATTTCCCTGAATAGTGCAACAATTAGGGTGAAATCTCAAGTGGCTAGATCTCAATGAGAAGAATTCTCCTCGCCACCCCTTCTCTAGCTCCTGCACCAATCTGAGCAAAGACTGTTTTCACTGCTCCCAACAAGGGATGTTGTGTTATTTATTAAACAGAGCTCTGCCGGTGGACACAACTGGGCTAAGATGGAGAAATAGTCTTACTTGGTATGATGAAGCATCTTGTGGCTGGTAAAGTATAGAAATGCAATCGATCGACCAATCAAGCAATCGATAGATAGGTAGGTAGCATTGAGCACGTTCGCTTTACTGGTTGTTGTCTTGGGCAAACTTCTTGAAGGAACAGAGTCTTGTTTTCTTGGACTTGCTGCTTCAAACTAACATCTAGAAGGAAAAGGAGATGCTCAGGTGAGGGTACCTGCCTTCACACATGCCCTGCCCTGGCGGCTCTGCTTGACCTGGTGCGGAATGACTGACTGACCTCCTGCCCACAGCACGTCACTTGATATCCTTAATGACTTTGGCTGGAGCCCACATGCATTTCCAGCACTCCGTTAGCTGTGTTTGCATCACTCGCTTGGCATCCCTCGGTTTACTGCGTGTTCCAGCCCCATGCAGAGGTCCAAAGGGGATGCAGTGGCCATGTACAGATGTGAGCAGCTGGCCATGCCCCCATCCCCATGAGCCGAGTCAGACATCTGTGCAGAATATACCTGTCACCTTCTTCCACACATCTCAGGGCCTCTGTTTTTGAGTTCCCACTTGAGAGCCCACTGCTGCATGAGTGCTGGCTCTATGCAGACCACCGTGGAGGCAGGTCTTCACCACACGATCACCCCTCTCCATGTTCTGTGTAGACCTCGATGCCTTTCTGAGCTGAGGCCAAGGAAAAGCATTCTGCCTGGTGCACCGCAAGAGAAAAACTGTGCTGCCACAAACAATTCTTTGTTTACTGTTGCAGCCTTGGAAGGATTGGCTTGCATGATGCGGTGCTTTCCCACACGAGGCTGTTAATTGACCGTATCAACTTTTGGTTTCCCTGCAGATCCGAGTCCTACATGAGCACAATTTTCTGATTTTCTGCTACATAACCTCCACTGGCTTCTTGACAAGAGGCATTCATTGTGCTTTCGCGCGGGGAAGTGTGTGGGTTCTTTGAATGATGATCTCCTCCTCTAGAAGCAGTGCCATGTTTTCCACCTCCTCTTCCCCCACGTTTGTTTGTGTTTTGAGCCAGAAACATCTGGCATTAAATTTTAATCCGCAACATAAGAGGTGCAGCTATACCACAGCGCCATCTTGTGGTCAGTTAACAGAATGTCTAGGAATGCAGCAAAATACGCACACCGGGGAAGGAAAAAGACAGTGTAAAGGATGCATTTTTCCTCCAGCGATGAAACTGGAAGGTGCTTAAATAGAACTTCAGCTTAAAGGCTTCATGTACAGGATCCCTATGCTGCACTTTGGAATGGAAGGATAGCATCAGAGGAAATCATGGTTTCTCTTGCTTTTACAATTACATGCCACAATTTCCCTGCACTAAATAAAACCTTTCTGAAAGTGCTGGTTAGATAATTGGAGGGTTGCATCATTATCTCACAACTCTTAGCAGGAGGACAACGAGTGCATGTTAAATGCTCTCTCTGTGTGTGTTTGGGGTTAGCAGGAACACACCCATCTTATTTTGCTTAAGATATTTGTATCCCATCCTTAATCCCAGTTTATATACTAAGAAAATAATAAAACAGATGAAAAATTCAAATCCAATACCCACAATTCAATGATACTTGAAACATAACAACAATAAAACTAATACAAAGCCTTAAACTAAACTTTTAAAACATACTAGTAGTTTGACTTCACTGCTTTTGCTTTTCCTCCACATTACCTTTGGTCCCACCCACCACTAAAACATTTGCTGTTGTTGTTAGTCGCGAAGTCATGTCCGACCCATTGCGACCCCATGGACAACATTCCTCCAGGCCTTCCTGTCCTCCACCATCCCCTGGAGTCCACCTAAGCTCACACCAACTGCTTCAGTGACCCCATCCAGCCACCTCATCCTCTGCCGTCCCCTTCTTCTTTTGCCATCTATTGTTCCCAGCATCAGGGTCTACGCCAGTAGGTCCTTCCTTCTCATTAGGTGGCCGAAGTATTTGAGTTTCACCTTCAGTCTCTGGCCCTCTAAAGAGCTGTCAGGGTTGATCTCCTCTAGGACTGACTGGTTTGATCGCCTTGCGGTCCAAGGGACTCGCAGGAGTCTCCTCCAGCACCACAGTTCAAAGGCCTCAATCCTTCGGCGCTCAGCCTTCCTTATGGGCCAGCTTTCACAGCCATGCATTGCAACTGGGAAAACCATAGCCTTGACTATACACACTTTTATTGGCAGGGTGATGTCTCTGCTTTTTAATATGCTGTCTAGATTTGCCATAGCTTTCCTCCCCAGGAGCAAGCGTCTTTTAATTTCTTGGCTGCAGTCCCTGTCTGCGATGATCTTGGAGCCCAGGAAAATAAAACATCCTAAAACATCCAACCCCCCCCCCCAAAAAAAAAACCCTCTTGGAAATTTATCTTGACCTGTGGACTACAAGAAGTTCCTCATCCTTGGCTTGAAAGATTTCAAAATATAACAAATGTGTGTTAGCTCAGGAGCTGGTGAGGATCCACTGTAAGAGACAGCTGTGACTACCGCAATTTGCATTTTGTCTAGATGGCCTTTTTGGGTGTCTAAATTTAGGGCCAGTGAGCAAGGAAAAAGGTCTGGGGGCTGACTGGAGTCTATGCAACTTCACAGCTAGTCATTTGTCTGTTTGGTTAATGGTTGGGAGGATAAACAAGGATGGGGGACACATCCATTTATGTAAATTCTTTGGACGAAAAATGTGATAATTTAGAGTTTTGGGCTATGCAGTGAGAAATACATATACTGGGCTGGTGGGATGAGAATTGGTTGTCAATCTGCCCAGTTTTTATATCCATATGGCCTGGATAAAAATTATCTGCTATTTTTCTGCTAATATAGACCTTCCTTTATTAATGCCTTTTTAGAAACTAATTTTAGTTTTACTTCCATCCTCATGAACACTTGCAAACCAAGCTGCTGAAGCCAAGATGGAAGGAATCCTTTACAACCTGCCTCTAACACAACAGAAAAGGTTTCGGTTCGGCCAACAATTCTGATGCATTGCTTCCTGTGATCAAAAGGCCAAAGTCACTAATTTTAGCACCTGTTATTTTCATTGCATGATTCATCCCTTCTCAGCCACAACATTTGGATATGGGACCCCCTTCGGCGTTCCTGGCTGATGTTGAAGCTCTAAACTGGGATTTTAAAGGTGACAGATGGC